CCTATATAAATTAATACATACGGAAGTAACAAACTTTTATTAATTTATCGAAATATTAAATCATCAAACTAATAATTCAGCACATTTTTACTGGATCGGGACCGTAAGAAATTATTATTTAAGCGAAATTACTGATTTATCGAGTATTAATTTATCAAGGTTCTACTGTATATGTCATTAATTCTGTCTTAAATCAAATGAAAGTGGTGATAAATATATGTATGTACTTGTCTCTAATTAATTAGTCAAGAATCAAGAACTAATATTAATCCAAATCTTGATCTTGAACACTTCGTAGGCATATTTATTAGGCCGGCTAGCTGCAAAGATGGCGACTTCAAATAAGAACATTAAATAGAAAGAAAGCACTACTACATTTAAATCAGTGGCCAAATGAAAGAGAGTGCATCAAATTGTTGAGTGTAACTCATTAGCCCCACATTATGATGATCACAAATAAATGATTATTCATTGCTAAATATTAAATATTTTATCCAAGCCAAAATCCCATTATTAATATGAGATTTATAATAGGACAAAATGCACTTCGCCTCCTGGAAATTTTCAGTTTTCGCACTTTCCCCTTATAAATTAAAAAAGAAGAGTCCCCGGTCAAAATTTTATCGCAGTTGCACTTTTTGCCACAAATTATAATTTTCAATGTATTTTTCGTCTGATTTGCTATTTATTCTTCCACTTCAAGGGCATCTGAGTCATTTCATTATTCCCGTCCAAATCATAATATCCTTATCTTTTAGAATACACGAATACAATCTATTCATTGATTTCAGAAAAAAAAAATTACGAACTTTTTTCTCTCAAAAGGAATTGTGCCTATTTTGGTTCCCAAAATTGCGAGAATCTTCAAAATTTTCTTTAGCTAGTCGCTATCATGGTGATTCGTCCCTAGAATGACGCAAATGCTCTTCCATTGAACAGATTCATTGCAATACCGGTGAAACATAAACTTGAAATTGTAATTTGGGGCAAACTACAATAAGAACAAAATTTTGAAGGGAGAGAATCCTTTTTTTTTTTAATTCGTAGGGGTGAAACTGAAAAAAATAGAGAAGTTTTCGGGGGCGAAGTGCATTTTGTCATTTATATTATACTTTTTTCATGGGAAACTACAGTTTTCATCCCTTAAGTTTCACCAATTTCATATTTAGTCACTCATGTTTCAAAAATTCAACATTTTTAGTCGTCCTCGTCAATTTTCCATTAGTACTAGCTAACGGAATCAAGCGTGTGCCGATGACTGCCTTAAATGACGAACTAACGGTAGATTAACAAAAAAGACCAAAAGTGGTAAATTATTGAAATGGTAAATTATAGCTAAACTGAAGGGGGTTACCGCCCCCTCAAGATGTGACTAGCTAGGGTTGCATGTTGAACTATTCAATGGCCGATATATGTGTGTAAGTATAAGCTATGGTTTTTGACACAAAAAGTAAGCATGAATAAGACCTTCTTAATTAGTTCCTACATGAAGGAAGAAACTAGAAACGACAGCAAGGATATTTTGACAGCATGCTGTCACGAATTTCTTGCCAATTAATTTTGTAAAAACAAAAACAAATAAATTAATAAATAAATAAATGTTGTGTTTTAATAAATATCCCTTGAGAAAGAGAGAGAGAAACATGTGAGTTTCCTTCACCTTTCGGTGTGGGAAACAGGAGTTTCTGATTCAAGAAGGGAAACATTATTATATTAATTAAACACTGCTAGATTTTTATGTTATTCAATTCATATGCATGCTCTATATATAACAAAACACCAACATCTTACTTCAATTTAATCCAAATTAGTGAATATATATATATATATATATATATATATATATATATATATATATATATATGTGTGTGTGTGTGTGTGTGTGTGTGTGTGTGTGGGTGTACAAAATGCACTTTGCCCCCTAGAAAAATTCAAAATTTGCACTTTTGCCCCTACAAATTAAAAATAAAAAAATAAAAATTCTCCCACTTCAAAATTTTGTTGCAGTTGCAATTTGCCCTAAAGTACAATTTTTTGAGTATTTTTTTATCGGAATTGCCATGAATCTATCTAATTGAAGGGCATTTGTGTCATTTGAGAGACGGATCACCGTAATAACTGTTAATTGATGAAAAAATTGAAAATTCTCGCAATTTTGAGACCTCAATAGGCATATTTGCGCGAAGCTGAAAAATGTCAGTTAAACATGAACGAAGGGAGTAATTAATAAAAAGAAAATTATGTGCAATCGACTGAAACCGGTCCAACTGTAGCCGAGATGACTATCTAATTTTGTACTCGGTCTGATTTTAAAAATATTATATTAATAAATAAAATAAGATTATACACTCTCATGAAGGTTCAATACACAATTTCTTTTATAAATTAAGATAAAATTTCATTCTTCCCAAAAAAAACTTGGACCAACCAAGATTTTTTTTTTGGCATATCCCAACATTTATTGACATATTAAGTATCAACAAATCTTCATGTTTATAGATATTAATCATGATTTATCTTGGCAAAGAAGCAAGGCCTAATTTCATCATGGTATTGCTAATAAATTCAGTATATATATATATATATATATATATATATATATATATATATATATATATATATATATATGTGTGTGTGTGTGTGTGTGTGTGTGTGTGTGTGTGTGTGTGTGTTAACGAGGCATGTCTTGATCGAGTCGTATACGGTTATTTTTACCGTCGATCTAAACACATATCAATGTGAGTAGTTGTGTGTTTGTGTGTATGAGAATGATTAAGATCTATCTGGTGTATTTCATCGCGTGTAGCATAGTATAAACCAGTTGTATACTGCTATACACGGCCATACTAATTATACAACCCCTTATTACTGGATTTTTCTTTAGTTATTAATAACTCCTTTATATTTGAAAAATAAATTACTAGTAGAAATTAGACAAATCAAATTGGAATTAATTAAAATTAAAAATCATAATCTTTCGAAATTCAGAATGAAAAATAATATTGTGCAAAATTTATAAATGATATTTGACTATAGTGAAAATCAAGTAAAGGTAAAATTTGTACATCACTTTCCATACATTATTTTCAAAGCTACCTAACAGTAGACATGGGCTGGCAATGCATGTGATTCAAGCCCCCCTTATGGCTGTGATCCTCATGAATAGGTTTCTTTTTGTTAAGGGACCACTTCATACAAATATTAAGAAATTCCTATTTATAAATTAGGGTAAATAGCACTTAACCACTTGTAGTTTGGACATTTTGCACATCACTCCCTTATAGTATGAAATTAGGCACATAATCCCCTTGTGGTTTTGATATTTTGCACATGAACCCCTTATGGTATGAAATTAGGCACATAAATCCCTTTTGGTTTTCAAATTTTGCATATGACCCCCTTATGGTATGAAATTAGCACATAACCCCCTTGAATTGAAAACTGGAAAAGACTAAATTACCCCTATCAAGTCAAAAGTTCTTATTTTAATTTAAAAATAATTATTCTATAAAATGAAAAGGTTAATGTATTTTTTTGTAAAATGAGAAATATAATATATTATTGTGTTTTTCTATTTTGCTGCACATATATTTTTTTTTTTAAATTTAATTTTCATTTCAACTTTAGAGAAATATTTTTTTTAGATTTTTCCAAGAGAATAAAAAAAATAAAGACTTTGTTTCTTAAAAAAGTTAAAGTTCGATAACAGCTATATAAATAATATATTATATAGAAAGTAGTAATATAATAATCATAATTAATGATAATGTTAAAGATTTTCAAATTAATTTTTAAAATTGAATAAATTGTCAATCGTACAATAACTAGTATTTTATACCTTTTGTGCTGTAAAATTAAAAAATAAAATACAATAATATGTTATATTTCTCATTTTACAAAAAAAATACATTAAGCTTTTCATTTTATAGAATAATTATTTTTAAATTAAAACAATAATTTTGTCTTGATAGGGGTAATTTAGTCTTTTCCGTTCTATTCAAGGGGGTTATGTGCTAATTTCATACCATAAGGGAGTTATGTGCAAATTTTCAAAACCATAGGGGGTTATGTGTCTAATTTCATACCATAAGGGGGTCATGTGCAAAATGTCCAAACCACAAGAGGGTTAAGTGCTATTTACCCTATAAATTATTACATTACCACGTAATATTGTGCTTAATTGAAAAGTGCTTAATTACACTTTACACTCTCAAAATATGCAATTTGGCCTTGAAAAATCATACACAATGCACCCTCATTGGATTCTTATGGCTATCAAAGGTAAATTAATATTTTAAGTGGTGTTTTTTAGGATGCTAAATGTCAAATTATTTTTTTTATATTCACCAATCCTTCGAGCCAATTTTGAAACTACAAAAGTCTAAAAAGTGTATGCTTCTTTTCTTGGTAAAAAAAAAAGTTTTTAACTGACTCGGTGCGAATTTTCTTTTCTTCACTTTGTATCCTCGAAATTAAGTTGGAGGATAGAAGAACAATAATAATTTAATTTGTTAGTTTGTACTCTACAAAAGAAAAAATGAAGTTGAATGCTCTCATGAAGTTAAAAAAAATCAATCCAGGGTGCATTGTGGCTGAATTATCTTTTTTCGAGTGTGAAGTGCTATTAATATTTTTGAAGGGCGTCAAATTACAAAATGCTATATTTTAAGGGTGCAAAGTTGAATAAGCCAATTCAAAAGTTTTTTTTTCTTTCTTTTGTGCTTTTACAGGTGGCCTGTATTTTAAGAGGCCACGTGGAGGGTAGGAGTGGCCCTGGAAATATATTTAGAGAAGGGTATAATAGGGTATGTTGCCTAAGATCACACATCTTAATTAGAGCTTTCAATGACATGGGGACCTAATTAATTATGTATTGCAAACTTTGACTCATTTCTAGTAGTTCAGCAGACCTAAGAAGTAACACATGTTAAAATATTATTTCGATAATTTAATATTTTGTTGAAATAATAGAATTTTGTTACTGTTAACAGTATTAATTTATAGAAGTTTAACTAATCTGAACTATTAATATTACCATATAAGAAAATTATTTGAATCGTCAAAATTATTTCATGCATTAAAGTTCAATTAATTGTAGCCTTGCATTTAAGGTAATGTATAGTATAGTTTGATTGAACATAAAGAAACCAAGCTTGCATTGAAATTTTCATAATAATAATACGGGCAAATTTCACTTCGCCCCCTCAAAATAACCATGTTTTTGCACTTTGTCATACATGTGTATTAGGCAAGACTTAGGCTGGAAATACACATTTAATTTGGTCCAAAGTGCACCGAGTTGTATATTTCGAAGGGGGACAGTCTTATTTCTATATTTTGAGGGGTTGCAAAAAAGGATTCTTTTGAGGGGGCGAAGTTCAATTTGCCCTAATAATAAATATTGTAAATTGCACATCACCCTCTCAAAACTTCTAATTTTCACACTTTACCCCCTCAAAATTTTAAAAAGTGAATATTCCCCTTAAAAAAATGTTATTCTTGTTGCACATTGCTCCCGATAGCAAAATTCTGAAGAATTATTCATCCGAATTGAGTACTCTTGTTGCATGTTGCCCTATTATATATTATTTTTGTTTCACGGTACTCCTTAAAAACATTACTTTTTCTGCACGTTGCCCCTTTGAAAAAAAAATTATTGCACAATGCCAACAAAAAATTGGCTTATGGTGTAAAGTACAACCAAAATAATATTTAGGGTAAATTACACGCACACCCCTAAGGTATGCTAAAATAACTTTAAGGTCCATGTGGTATCGATAATTAAACTCACACCCTTGAAACATTATTAGAAACTCTAGTGAGATAATGCATTGGAAACGTTATTCCGATAGAGTTCTAACGGACTATGAGTTTCAGAAAGTAGTGTGGACAATAAAGAGGTATGGGTGATTTAAGAAATGTTGCGGGAGCCATGTCACCCCCTAACTCTATATTGTCTCCACCACTAGCTAAGAATAATAGTCTGTTAGAATCCTATCGGGAATAACGTATCCAATGTATTATCCCATTAGAGTTTCTAACTATGTTTCGGGGGTAAGTGTAATTATCGATACGGCATGAACTTTAAAGTTATTTAAGCATACCTTAGGGGTGTGGGTGTAATTTACCCTAATATTTAAAAAGGGAGATTGTCCCCTTTTTTTAATTTTCTTAGAGGGGTAAAGTGCAAATATGGAAAATTTGCCCTAATAAATAAAGCTTATGTTGTAATGAATCTAAAGATGGACTGATATTCATTGAACACGTAGAGACTGTATATTTATAACCGAAAGATACACTCAGATAATTGATTGAATTTAAGGCAAGAAAATCCAATTTTGAAACTTAAACATAGGCAAGTAGGGGCTCATTATCATTTATTTGCATTTACTTTGTAATACTTGATTGTGATTGTTAATTGCTATCAAGGAGTCTTTTACAATTAGCTGAAATTAAAGTATTAAACTAAGTAAGATTTATTTTTTATTTTTTTAGAGTAGATTACACCATAAAAATAACTTTACAATATGCTAAAATAACTTTAAGGTTCCTCTAGTATCGATAATTACACTCAACCCTTTGAAATATAGTTAGAAACTCTACTGGGATAATGCATTGGATACGTTATTCCGATAGAGTTTTAATGGACTATTATTTTTAGCATGTATTTTGTTTTAACAAATGTATGTTATGTTTAATCACTTAACAAAAATTGTGGTTTGACAAAAATATTAAATCATACGAATTTTTATAATTAAGAAAATATAACATCAATATAATATTTTTTTCAGTAACTAGAATAAACATAGGGTTACCGAGTGAAATAACATTCACAAGAAAGAGCTTCAATGACGAACAAAGACTCTTTGGTTTTTGATATTTGTCCAACTTTCTTAAATGATATTTTGGTAAGGCCTATCATAGTAGCTACTCTAAAAAATGTTCTACTCAGTGTATCTATATATATCCTGACCTTGAAATCGTAATATATTAATTTGTATATAATATAAAAAGAGGATATATAATCTCAATCGATCACATGTGTCAAATGCTTATGTCAAATCTCCCAATCACTTAGTTGGCACTAAATTGATTATGTGTATGAGTCAATTGCTTAGTCATCACTTCTAGTTTCGTATGTACTTAAGTTTATTCCTAGATTAGATTTGCACTCGTATATGATAAATCCACATATACATGTAACATGTTCATATACAAAATTGCATCATTGATATAATTTTACACATATATTCACGAATTATATTTAAATTCGTAAATGTATATTTTTATTTCCCGAATAAATTTATCATTCTAATTTCTTTTATTTTTTATTATCATTATTTTATTCAATTTTGTAATATAAATTGTTAAATTAATTTTTTTTTTTAAATAGTTTTAATATTAAAAATTAAAATTATTTTTAAACGTATTATAAATGAGCATGCAAAATATTGTAATTCAAATTGTAATTGAATTAGTACTCAAATATATGCAATATTAATTTGAATATATTTTTCATGGGAAACAACTAATATTGGACGTGTGTAGGCTATCAAATAAGAACGATCTTTGTGTTTGAAATGGGATTAATAAATTTGTTGGCTGCTTTGGAAGTCGGATTTTTTGGGATTCCATTTATAAAAGTGATTGTATACAGACATTTTACACAATGTAGCATCGAACTAAAATGAATAATTGAACTATACATCTTTGAATATTTATACATTTTTTGTTTCCTCTTTTTACATCATTTCCTTTCAAGTAGTAGAGGTTTTACTTTTTAGGGTTTGGCCGCGCCAAACATACATATTTAAAAGGATTTACCGATTTAGCAATTCAAAAAAAAAAAAAAATTAAAATAAACACCCAACCACTTTGTAACCAACTTAACAGAATTTCGAAACTCCCTGCATGCATGTACCAGTGCACATGCCTCTCTTGTTTCTATGTATATAAGGGCAGACCACTTCTTGTTTTTCTTTATGAGAGACACTACTAAACCCTAGCTAGATCTATTTCTTTGTTATTCTGTTAGAGTTAATTCAGTGTTTGAGAGTTCGGTGGAGAGGTAAAAAAAGAGAGCGAGATTAAACCCGAGATCTAGATCGATCGTTCTCGTAATAAATCAACACCTTAATTCCATGGCTGCGAGAGATGGAGACGACGATTTCGACGGTGGCCGCCGTGAAATCGTTGCGGGCGGTCGCCGTCGTCGCGCCCGCGGTCATGTGTCGTCCATAAACTCAGATCTTTTGGTATCGATTTTGGTCAGACTTTCTGTAAGAGATGTGTTGAAGTTTGGAGCCGTAAACAAAGATTGTAGGAACACTATTGCAAATGATAATTTCCGCGGTCTCCATACCAACAACTACGTCGTTCACAGGAGTAGAGATATTTTTATCGTGATGTTGGTGTCGAATATCCACTCTTTGGATGAAGACGAACTAGTTGAGGATTCAAAGCCATATGTTTTCTTCAATCCCGTACACGGACTTGTTAGGCACGTTTTACCGAACGAGTACGACGGTAAGATAGTTGCTATCAGCCATGGACTTGTATTGACAAGAAACAAGAATGTTGAATGCGGGGTTCAAGAAAACCGGCATCCACCAAGAACCGACATTGTTCGTTACGAGTTTTCTGATGGTGAGGAGTTTCCCGATGATTGCGAGGAGATCAATCCGGCTAATTTCGTGGAGACGTTTAAAACTTATACCGTGTACAATCCGACGACAAGGCAAGGGAGGAGATTGCGATATCCGCCCTACGTTCGTAGAGCTTATGTTAGTCAACTAGCCTTAGGTTTTGACCCCGTCGTATCACCTCACTATAAGATACTTTGTTTACAAAGAGATGGCGGCAATGAAGGATTTGAAGTAGATCGTCCCAATCGATCATGTTACACGTTTTGCATTTATCATTCTCGAAGCGATACGTGGGATGATGAATCGTCGGAGGTCGAGTTCACTCATGATCCTTTTCCACCCGGAGAAAACGGGATATATTGGAAGAATAGGATGTTTTGGTCGGGTGTTTACTTCAACTTTGAAACGAGACGGTTTTACCGTTCGCCCACTTGTCCGAGGGAAGGTGCCCATGCGCATTCGAATGGAAAACTTGGTCCCGTGATGGAATCAAACGGACATCTTTTTCGTGTACGATATCCCGCCCTCATCGCCGATGGACGTCCAGGAAGGCTATTCCTGTATAAGCTGAAATCGGAAGATCTGCAACAACAGGAAATTAATGGGAATTCGGAAATTATAAATGGGAATTGGGATGATAATTGGGATGTTGATGTTGATGTGGATGTGTGGGAAAGAAGTACGGTCAATTTGAATTCGAATTTCGTGCGATCCGTACTCGGGACCGAAAGATTTAATGTTTTAAGGTACGTCAAGGGTCTTGAAGAGGAAGACACGTATTTCTTGATTCACACGTTTGGCAAACTCGTTTGGTATAAGCCGTCGTCAAATGGGGGCACGCATGAGATAATAAACTTAGAGGAAAGTGAGGCAATGCAGCAATCTTTGGCGGTTTCGAGGGATTTGCACCTTTGGAACGACTTTTCGTGGGAGTTGGTCCCGAGTTTGGCTGCCGTGTGAGCCAAACTCCTTTGTATTAGAATGTGTTCATCATGTGTTTTCCTTGTTTTGGATTATGTCTTTAGAAATTGTGTGAACAATGCATGCATGTTATTGATGCGCTTATGTATGGATACACTCATAGGCCGACATATGCCAAATACATCCAGTTATACCATATAATATACCTGCAGCCATTGCATTTGTCGAAATGTAGTTAGTTTCTTGCTTTCAAGTTCTTTTAAGATATTTATTACAAGATAGTAGAGCGAGCTTGA